ATACTTTTGCACACATGAAACAAAATCAGCAAATTCACATAAGCGACAACAGTTGTAACAGACAACATTCAGGATTATAACATCAAACTGACAGTAACAAACTAACAACATGACACGACAAGTTCACATTCAACATTATAGACCGACAAATTCAAATGAAAACACCAAACTACTGATCATCGCTTAAGCTGTGCCATATTGTCCAGGGCCAGTGCCATCTATCTTGTCGCGCCAGGTGGTGAAAGTATGCTTCCGGGTAAGGTCTTCATCTTCATCAGGGAGAAATTCTACAGCCAAGCCTTCAGTTAGCAATGGGCCACGATCAACGACCTCTTTGACATGCATAATCACTGGAAATTCTACGGTTGCACGCTCTGTGGGAGAATTTGGAGCCGGCGGTGAATGTGCGTTCTCGTCGTCGGAGTCTGGCTTCCATGGCCCCGTAGGAGGTGCAGGAACAGTCACGGTGAGCACCTTTGGCACACCTGAAGGGTTGCGCGGCCACGCGGTCACCAGCAACACCCACTTGTCGGTGGCCGGGAGCATGTCAATGAGCTCGCCGTCGACACCGGCGAGCACCAGGTTGACGGTGTGTGGATCCCAAGCCTCCTCCGGCAACCCCTCCAAACTCAGCAACGTCTTGTACTTGAGCTCCCCCAGCTTGCCACGCGAGAAGCTTAACCAGCGCTGAAAAGAAATCCTGCTGCCACAACAACGAAGCTGCTCCGACGCGTGCACCACACGAGTGCAATCATCTGTCGACTCGAAGCGAACAAAAAAATGGAATGGTGGGCAAGTGACCTCCACCTTGGTTGTCGTCCGTCGGACAGCACAGTGAGACTCCATCGCCGCCGCTAGTGCCTCCGGCGTCACCACGCTCCGCGGCTGTCCAATGATGGTGGCGTATAGGACACGGCCATAGAAATCTCCCTCGAGAGCCGCCATGCCAGCAGTGCGAGCGATGACAACCCGCCCGCACTCCGGCCGCAACTCCGGCTCGCCCCGCTGCCACACCTCTTGAGGAAACAAACATGAGTCCCGGATGCGAGGCCATGCCACAGCGGGCGCCGGAGACCTGCCATCGCGGACGCCGGCGACGACGCGGCTGGCCAGTGCCACGCTCTCCGAGCTGCCGCCTGCCATACTGTCCGCCACGATGATGGCGGCACCACGGCTACTTCCGGCGAGGGAAGAGGAACAACTCCAGCCAGGAAAGCCGCCACCGCTCGAGCTCTCGCTGCCGTCACCACCACCGCCGCCCATCTGCCGCCGCCGTAGGTGTGAGAGGAGAGACGAGAACTAGGGATTTGGTTTCGATTTGGGAACTATGGTTCGATTCGGTTATAAATCTACAGAGATTGCAATACGGCCCTCAAACAACATCGCGGAGGACTTTTCTGCAAAAATACTGAGAAAACCGGGCGTCGGCGCGGTTCAGCTGGCGCGTGTGACTTGATTGCACCCGCAATGCAAGTTCTGTGACGGGTTCTTCCGGTTTGCAAGTTGTGTGACTAAAGTGCACCCGTAGTGCAAGTTCATACACCGCCAGTGCTATTTACTCCCAGAACAAGGCGAGAAGAAACCTTGTGCCTCTCATATTGTAGTCGTTCCGGCGATCTGCGGAGGCGCAGGAAGCAGGATGGTGAGGAAATAGGCACCAGGCATCTCGGCCAGATCACTCCGCCGCCTCCCGTGTCGATATACATAATAGATCGAGGCCACTGCTGCCGCCTTCTCCTCCCACCCGCTCATTGTGCCGTCCTGCCGACGCGGGCGTGCATCCGAGGCACGGGAGCGCCGTCCAGGAGGCACAGCAGCACGAGAGAGCACGGTAGGAGACGGATACGAGCGGATCAAGGCGCCGTGGCATCGTCGGCGATGAGGAGGTCGACCGCGCCGAAACCCTAGAGGGGTAAATCCAATGCAGGCAACCACATCAGGACGGGATCGACGAATCGATGCGGTGGAGCATATAGAGCGCGGGGAGAGGAAGAGATTGGCAGCCACCACAACGGCGGAGATCGTCGGAGTTCGTTGGAACCGGCCGTCGAAGGCGGCAGCGAAGAAAGAGAAGGCGAGAGAGAGAGAGAGAGAGGGGGGGAGAAGCGACAGAGGAGGGGACGACTCAGGTTCCACCTTTGTTTCCCTCTCTATTCCTTTTCCTTCGGCCTTTCTTGGCGATGAAGCGAACGAGCTTGCCAACGTGAACTCAACTAGCTTGTCTCTTGCGTACCTTGCGTACGTGGACAACGCCATCGACCGCTCCTTGCGCGACCGTTAAAGGGTTGTGTAATCTTCTGGGTGCACGGTGTTGCTTGCTTGCGCCGCAACGAGCTATTTTACCGATTCATCATAACGAAAATATGAATCGAACCGCTCGTGCATGAGTCTCGCCATTGCTTAACGTGATTAGTCAGTAGACCAATCGAGCCAGCAGCAGGCAAGCGGACAAGATTCGCGAACAATCGATGTGTGACGTGTCCATGCTGGACGTGTGAAGCCGTTTTCTGTACCGTGAAGCCATGCATTTCAACGCTGCACGCTTGAATTTAACACGAATTAGTTACGCGCCTTTCTTTTCGCCGTCGAGGAACTAAATGACAGGTATTTTCGATTCTAGCTTGCCTCGATGCTATGGGAGCAAGTAGAAATGACAGTTTCCAAAAAAAGGGTAGAGAAAATAACAGAAAAGATAATAAATTTTATGCATAAGAGACACTGATGGCCGATTGAATCGCTGACGAGACTGTCTCTCGCATTAACTTTGCCCCATGAGGGCTCTGCTTAAGACTACCCAAAGTGGGAGTAACATAGGTGGCAACATCACACATCTCTAGTCAAAACAGATGATGTGCGAATAATTAATGAGGAAAGAGGACATGCGATAACATAGCTAGTTACTGTAACATCACACATACCAAGACAAGATAAGTCTACAACCTAATAAATATAGTGTTGCATGATATCATATATATGTTACTCCTACTATAGATGTAGTAATATAGACTAGTAACATATGCATGTTACTACCTAAGCCGGCGTGGAGTTTGATTTCGCACTGTAGATCGCTGGGGAGCAGCAGGTTTGTACCGGCCCTAAAAAAGCTGCAGTGCATCTAGCGCAAGCGTGCGGGTAAAATAAAGAACGCACACATATTAAAAGACAATAAATCAAGTTCAGAATAATCGATGAAGCCACCGCATGGTCATAGGCTTGGTGCTTGAACGGCATCTTCTCCTGAGAGGCGAGGAGCAGTCTCGCCCTTCCTCTCCATGGCTGATAGCTTGTCATGCTCGTCGGCCTCCTTCTGAAGCCGCTCTTGTGAGCCCTCCACTTCAACACATCGCCTCTCTGGTTTTGGACGGTCACCTTTGACAAGCACAAGTTGTTCGGACACGTCAGAAATAGGCACCCTTAAACTTTTCAAGAACGTACGCGCCTCTTTTCTGCAAAGTTCACATCCTTTGCTTCATATTCGTCTGGGTTCTTCATCCGAGCCAAGTTATGAGCCATGGCCTTTAGAAGGGAATCCAGTTTCAACAAGTCATCGGGTACACTGCATTGTACAATGTCACCCATGATGCCGTGGCCATCTCTATAGCCCTTAGAATATTGGCCCTGAGAAAATGCTTCTTTTCGAGGTGATACTAAATTGTTTTAAGTAAACACACACGATACTTGTGTTCCTGTCAGACACAGGGTCTGAGACTGAAAGGTGAAAGCAGGGCTTATCGCCCGACTTATCGTCAGTAGTCGGTGGGATTATGTCCATGAAAGTCGTGGCCCATGAGATACCAGCACCTCGAAGTACATTTCGGCGGTGATGTGGAGCTCCTAAGACCGATGAAGTTCGTTATACCATCTTTCACTATAGGTATTTCATCTAAAAAAGCAGTGTTGTGGTACATGGAGTGAAAGATGTTGCAACGAACTTCGTTGAGCGGGCTAAAGAGATCCACATCACCGCTTAGAGGCGTTGGTGTCTCATGGGCTACCAGTTCTCCTAGACATGATCCCGCCGATTACCGACGATAAGTCGGGCAAGAAGCGCCACTTTTATCTTCTAGTCTCAGACCTTGTGTCCGAGAGGAACGCAAGGATCACGTGTATGGACTTAAAAGATTCCAACATCACTCAGAAATAAGCCGTATGCAGGGCCAATGTTCTAAAGGCGATATAGATAGCCACGACGTCATGGGTGACACCGTATAATGCAATGTACCCGACAAGCTGGATTCCATTCTGAAGGGCCAATGTTCTAAATCGATCTATGCTTAAGAGAGAATATCAATATGCATGCATGCGAGTGTGCTACGTAGTGGAACCGATCTAGGAACTGGCTCTGTACTTCTGTACACTTGCAATTTGCGGCCATGCGTACCTTCCTTGTAGCGCTGAGTAGACGGCTGCTCCGGGGGTATGGCGAATTGGCGATCGACGATGTGGAAAAGATCACACGGGGCTGCTGCTTTTATAGGCCCTTCGGGAGAATTCTTTTTTTCTTTTTTAACCAAGAGATAAAAATCGACAGGCTTGCAAACTGTTGGCGTACGGCGAGTTTGAAGAGATCCTGCTGTTTTAAAACGATATTGCAAAATCTTAAACGGCCAAGTAGCTAAAGTGCGTACGGCACAAGGATTCTTTCGTCTTGTTACCGCACCATGGTTATTCCTTGGGTCCCGATAAGGAGCGAACGCCAGATTTCTACCGATCTCTAACCAATCGTTCCCCATCGCAGGTGAAACGACCGAACGATTTCGTTCGGTCTGAGAGGCCTCCGAGCGCGAACACTTTCAGAAACTTATCGCTAACTAGAAGAACGCCCGTGCGTTGCAAACGGGCCACATTAATTTTAAGAGTTCAATATTAATATTCTCATACATATCAAGTGACATTGGCGACCTTTTTTTACCATCAAATCCTCTCTCTCCCCCCTCTCCCCCCCTCTCTCTCTCTAACACACACATATCCATCTTATTGGGTACGGGACCATAATCCATCTATTTCACACACACACACGCTAGTGCATAGCAATATGGATTATGTGTATTATATTTGCCACCACAACTGAGGAAATTAATTTCATGTAAATCGGCCAGCCACAGCTCTAAGAATACGCGGAGGAGGTGGCCCGGGTTGGCATCGGCGCTGTCCGGCGCGGGCCACGGGCCCGCTTCCAAATGCGTCTGCGCGCCGGCCACCCACGTCGGGTCCTTCAAGTGCCGCTTCCACCGCACCAACTCCCAGGGCCACGGCCAGGGAAGCCGCCCTTCTTCGCCCCCTTCACCGGCAGCGGCCAACGCGGTGTCGCGGCACCCGGCCTCGCCGTCCTCGTCTTCCGGCACCGTCGCGACCCAATGACGCAGCCCAAGCATCGGCCTCGAGAATCAAGAACGCTCGACAACGGAGAGGAAAGGGAAGATCATATACATGTCATTGTTTATTTACTGCTCCCTCGATGTATTGTTTCCTTTGTTTGGAGATTGATTACCATCTGTGAGTTAAGGTAAGGTTAATGTGATTGAGCGATTTTTCTGAAAATCTAATATTTGTTTTCTAATTAATGTGATAGAGTGATTTAAGGTAAGATTAATTAATTTAGATTTGATCTTTAGAGATTGTTCGTGATTGATTCTACATTACTAAATAACTTGCACCAGTATGGAAAGTTTTGATCTGTTCAGATTTCGTTCGTTGTGTGAGAGGGTGACGCGAAAATAAACCGATGAAGTGGGGGAAGGAGACGAAAAAAATTGTAACATCCCAATTTTCCTAAATTAGGATGTTAATAGATCATTCATATGCATATGATATTTTTATTTCATTATTTGCTTTTTCAGAATATTCAAATCATTATGCAACAAAAGGCAATTTATTTGGAGTGGAGATAACATGACTTCTCCCCTATTTTAAAAATGTTCATAATGTGCAGAATATTGTTTCCAGTTCATATGATATGTTCTGGTATTTTTTGCAATGTTCAAAATATTTTATTTGATTGTTTTATTGCTATTTGAGTGGCCTATTGCATCAAAATTATTTTACAAAAATTGTATTAGTGTTGAAACTAGTGTTCCTGTAGTTTATATCTGTAGAGCTATTTTTACTGTGTGTCTAGGTATTTTTATTTAGAATTTATATTGTGTATTTTATTTTATTTATTTTGTTTTCTGCTGTTGTTTTAAAAAAACAGCGCAGCGCCGCAGCGCTGCAGCCAGTCGGCCCAGCCAACCGCCAGCCCCGCAGCCCGCTCGCTCGCAGTCGCGAAGCGGTACGCACAGCCGCACCGCATCGCCCGACCCGCACCGCGCCCCTGCTCGTCTCCTTCCCCGAGCCGGACTGGAGCGCACCGTACACGCGACCGAGGCCGAGCTGGATCGACCCGATGCCCTGGTCCACCCCGAGCACCCTGGAGACGCCACGCGCGAGCTAAACCCTAGGGGAACCCGACCGCAGCCTCCCCTCGTCCTCCTTCGACCACACGAAGCCGCTGGACTGTTTTGGATCTCGCACCGGAGCACCGCTGTCCGCCGTCTTTGCCGGAGGATTCCACCGCCGTAAGGACACCACCGGCCACACCGTTCACTCACCTCGACCCTCCTCTCAACGCGCACCTTCCTGACATTCTTGCTTGGACGAAAACACAGCAGCGTGAGTGGGACGAGCTCGACCGCCGCCGCCGGAGTTGCCGCGTTCAGGTCTTCACCACCGCCGGCACAGTCCACCTCGCCGCCATCCGACACCACCACCGTCTCCGCCACTCACCTCCGCACCCGTCTGTCACCTCTCCTTCGCCGGAGACCCACCGGAGGAGCGCCGCCGCCAACGCCCGAGACCGCCGTCGTTTTCCTCTGTTTTTTTCGTGAGCACACGCGCCCGACCAATCAAGAACTGCCACGTGGCACTTCGCTACAGGACACGCACAGGAGTTGCTGCAGTAACGCGTGAACTGTGCAGGAGATTTCTGTTTTCTTTTGTTTTATTTTCAGATTTCAACTCTAACTTCAACTAGCTATATCTTTTAGTCTATAGCTCCAATTTAGGTAATTCTTTTTCCTATGCACTCACAAAAATCAGCACATTATCACAGTACCAACTTTGCACATGTTTGCTCTGTTCAAATTTGAATTCGTTTGAATTTGAATTAAACCTTCCGGAGGCCGTAACTCTCAAACCGTTTATCGGAATCGAGTGATTCTTTTTGCGTTGTGACCATAGTGCAATTTAGGTGCTGTTGTTGAGTTTTTAAAATGTTTTTCTTGCTGTTGGTTTTGTTTTGGTTCTTTTCGTGTTCCGGTGATTGATTTGTTGAATTGTGTGAAACGTGTAGATTGTCCGGAGTGCGACGCGAGCTATTGTCAGGAGTGTGACTTTTTGAACCAGAACCAAGGCAAGTTACATGTTGATCATCCTTTACCTATTGTTTTCTATGCATGTAGTTATATCACACTATGAATATATGCATGTATAGGAATACTATATTATTTTTGCTATGCTGATGAGCTATCTTCCCGTCTTTGCAAATTGTGGTAGTGGTAGGTTGCTATGCTTTGTAGATGGGGGTGGTTCGTGTATTCATTGAGTTTATGTGAGGATTATATATATTTAACAAATTGAGTAGTAACTCAGGATTTAACTCACCTCTGGGCGGAAGTGGTATTGCTTGGTGTTGAGGGAAGGCATCATGGGGTCTTGCACCTTTTCTAAGGCCATGCGCTCATGAGAGTGCATCCTAAGTGGAATGCCGCCCAGGTTCAAAAAGATCAGACAGACTTAGTGACTAGTAGCTTCCATGTGCGGCCACTGGCTATATGGGCTCTGGCTTGGTTGATCAGTTGTTGGAACCCTGGCCCAGACAGTGTCGACAGATGTAGCATATGTAGGTGGGATGTGGCCGTCAGGTGGTCAAGGGAACCTCTTCTGGAAGACTTCGTCTCAATCTTCGGATTGGATCCAGTGGGTAAAGCGTACTAAACTCTGCAGAGTATTAAAACTAATCATGATTAGCCGTGCCCCCGGTTATGGGTAATTTTGAGCCACTATGCCATTACAGTTGTTGGATGATCTTGACAGATGTGACACTTAATAAATTTGTTGGGCAACTTAATAAAGGGTAGGTTGGAGTTGATTTTGCCAACTCAACCTTGTGCATTTAATTGTAGTAATAAAAGAACTATATAAATCTTTTGACTATTAGGTAGTTATGAGGACAAAATCAGCTTTCCGCAAAATAAACCCTCAAGCCTTTCTTTGTTGTACTATGCATATACATGTAGGTCTGCTTTATTATTACTCCTGTGCAACTTGCCAATACATTCCAAGTATTGACCTATATGGCTGCAACGTCTCATGTTGCAGGATATTCTGACGAAGAGTAAGGTACCGTTAGGGTCGCGAGTCTGCACTCAGCATCGTCAGTGGGCTATGATGGGACTCGTCGTTATTTTCTGCTACTTTTCGCTGTTTGATTGAATAAAGCTAGCCAAGTGCTATGCAGATTGTTTTATTTTATATATTCTGGATCATACGATGTAATAAATGATGCACTTGCTATTCTGGTATTCATCTATACTGTGTGTGCTAGCGAGTTTGATCCAGGGACTAGCACGGTAAGCACAGAGACTCAAATCCTTCGAGGTTTGGTCGTTACAAAAATCTACGAAAAAAACCAGCGAAGGTGGGAGGAGGTACCAAAAAAACCATGAAAGGTGGGACGGAAAAAAAACCTGGAAGCGAGACTACCAACTGCTCCATTAGGAATAGAGATGAAGAACACGACGAATTGCGTAAAAAAATGCCAATGTGGTCCTGTTGCACAAGCAATAAAAGGAAAACATGCCCTTTAGATACTAAAACATGAAAAAGAATGTAAACGATATGACTATTACTCCCTCCGTTTCTAAATATAAGTCTTTTTAGAGATTTCAACATGTGACTACATAGGAAGCAAAATGAGTGAATCTACACTCTAAAATATGTCTACATGCATCTGTATGTTGTAGTCCATTTAAAATGTCTAAAAAGACTTATATTTAGAAACTGAGGGATTACATGAGAAATAAAGTCTATTTAGTGTAAAAACATGAAAAAGAATGCACGAAAACCAACTAAAAAACTGAGAAAATCTTTACAAATAAAAGCGTCACAACAAATATAGAAATTCATAGAAAAAATAGCTGACAAAAAACATAAAAATTGCCATGGTCCAACAAAAAAATAAACTTGCCATGCTAGAATTTTTTTTGACATGGTTTTAATTAAATTTTGAAATTGTTCAAAAAGTAAATTGCCATGGTCACAACAATTTGCCACTGTCCATACAATAAAAATGCCATGGGACACAGACTCCACCACGGTTGGCGATAATTTAGACTAGCTTAATAAAGGCTTGCCCGCTTTTGTTTAGTCAAAATATGCACAAAAAAATGTAATGAATTTGGTCTGGTTTAAACAAAAATTATCCGGTTTGCATAAAAACCATATGGTTTATTCAAATTTACTTTGAAATGTATGAAGACATGGTTGGATGGTCGGCTCCCGTATCAGTCCTCAGACAAATACAGTGTCAGTTTTAAGGGTCGGTGTTGGAGATGCCCTAAGCTCCCTTCATTTATTGATTTAGCAACTAAATGTTTCAATGCATTGGTGAGTTTTCTTCATTTGAGTGTTTTGACTAGGTTCCCGTGCTTGTCATTATTTCTTGTCATGCGGAGACCACTCAAAAGAGATCAAGGTTGAGCATATCCATTGAGGAGGACAGCGAGGTGGAATTTGAGACCAACAATAGACCGAAAGGGAACAAAATTGCAAAAGAGAGAAAGAAGAGAAATGCATACGGTGGCACATACAAAGAAGATCTTGTGCCCATTATTGAGGCCAAGAAAGGTGTTGGCAGCCGAGCGCAAAGAAGAGAAGATGGCGAGGTGGAATGAGCTCAAGATGTTGGAGGATGAGAAATGGAAGGCCAAGTTGGCGGCCGAAGAGAGAAATTTGATGGCAGAGGAGCGTAGACTTGCACTTGAGGAGGAGAGGATCCATAATGCCAAGAAAGCCGAAAATCGCGCTATCATGTCCATAATGGATGAAACCACAAGAAAGTATTGGGAGCTCACTCGTGGGGAGATCTTGCCAGAAGCGGAAGGCTGTCTTCGGAATGGCTGTCATGACGGTGGTGGCAGCCGAGAGGATGGTGGTGATGGTGATGGTGGTGGCGGCCAAGAGAATGGTGGTGGTGATGGTGGACGAGAGGATGATGGTGGTGGCGGTGATGATTTCTTTGACGAGGACTTCGTTTGAGTTCATGCATTGCCATTGGTTGGCTTGATCCACAACATACACAAGTTATGTTTGTGGTGATTTTGGATCAAACTTTGTG